AAAGGGAGGAAGGGAAGGAAGGAAGGAGGAATGGAAAGGAGGGAGGGACGAATGGAAGGAAGGTAGAAAAGGGAGGGAAGGAAGGAAGGAAGGAAAGAAAGAAGGAAAGAAGGAAGGAAGGAAGAATGGAAAGGAGGGAGGGAGGAATGGAAGGAAGGAAGGTAGAAAAGGGAGGAAGGGAAGGAAGGAAGGAGGAATGGAAAGGAGGGAGGGACGAATGGAAGGAAGGAAGGAAGGTAGAAAAGGGAGGGAAGGAAGGAAGGAAGGAAGGAAGACCGTAAGCCCCGTTGCGGCTTCACTGAACAATGTTCGCTTAGCAACCGAGAAGCCACTTTCCGGTTTCAGTCTCTGAACAAGGACAAGGTCATAAATCTTATGACTTGCGAGCTCCTGTTGGTGAATGAATTACGAAAATAAGGAAACGCCACCCGGAAGACGTCTATGAAGACAGAGGTCAATTTTTGGGGGGGGGGGGGGGGGGGGGAAAGAGGTTTTCTTTCAACGACTGCATTGCTTAGCGATGGACATTCCGGTGCCAACTGTGACCACCACCAGCTGAGGACTACCCGTGCGCGCGCGCGTGCGTGTGTATATATGTATGTGCGTGTGTGTGTATGGATATCCGCGCGCACACACACGCCCATACACAGAATACCTGCGCACTCATCCACCGTGGTCTCTTCCACCTTGAATTGCTCTCCGTCCCATCGTCCCTTTTGGTCTTGAAAAATTCCCCTGGATCCAGACTTCCGAGGCGCCACTGCCCACCGGCCCCCTTTCCTCCTGCCCTCAGGGCGGGCAGGTGGAGAGCAACTGCCCCCCCCACCTCACTGGGTTCTCTTTCGTTCCGCTGTCCAGGGGAAACAGGAAGAGAACGACGTGGTGGAGAAACTCAACCTCTTCCTGGACTTGCTCCAGTCGTACAAAGTGAGTCCGGTGTTCAAGGTGCCCGTCAGGGAGAGAAAGGCTGGGTCAACGGGGGGAGGGCCGGAGCAGGGCCGGAGCAGGGAAGCGGGAGGGCCCGAACCGGGAGAGTCAAGGAATGAAAAAGGGGGGGGGGAAAAGGATGGATAAATGGATGGAGAGAGAGAGAGAGAGAGAGAGAGAGAGAGAGATGGACGGATAGATAGGTTAGATGGATGGATGGATAGATAGATATATTGGATAGATAGAAAGATAGATATATTAGATATATTAGATAGAAAGATAGATATATTAGATCAGATATATTAGATAGAAAGAGAGAGAGAGAGAGAGATAGATGATAGATAGATAGATAGATAGATAGATAGATAGATAGATAGATGATAGATAGATGATAGATAGATAGATGATTGATAGATGATTGATTGATAGATGATAGATAGATACATAGATAGATAGATAGATAATTGATTGATAGATGATAGATAGGTGATAGATAGATAGATAGATGATTGATAGATAGATAGATAGATAGATAGATAGATAGATAGATAGACAGACTGATTGATAGATCATTTATAATAGAACAGGAGAGATAAACAGAGTCATACATAGATGATTGATAGAAAGAAAGAGATAGATAGACATGATAAAAAAGGTAAGATAGACAGACATAGTCGGAAGGATGGATGAGATAGAGATAGAAGCGATAGAGACACAGTAGTGAGACAGACAGACAGGTTGTTAGACAGAGACCCATAGGTAGGAATTGGCCCCCCCTTGGGTCTGGTTCCCATCGCCAGCTGCATCTCCTGCCTGCCTTGCAGGATCTGTGCGAGAGGCACGAGAAGGGCGTGTTGCACAAACACCAGCGGGCTCTGCACAAGTACAGCCTGATGAAGAAGCAGATGATGAGCGCCACGGTGCAGAACAAGGAGCCGGAGTCGGTGGAGCAGCTGGAATCCCGGATTGTGGAGGTAGAGGCACCTGGGACTGGGGGAGAAGATAGCAGGCTGGGTGGGAGGGAGGGCGAGGTCTTGGTAGAGAGGGTAGCTTGTGTCGCTCCAAAGCTCTGGTCTAATCTCCTTTCCTTCTCTTTCCCTTTCTTTCCTTCCCTCTCCTTTTCCTTCTCTTTCCCTCCTCCTCCTCCCTCTTTCTCCTCCTTCTTTTCCTTCTCTTTCCCTTTCTTCTCTTCGGTCTCCTTTTCCCCCTTCTTTTCCTCCCCCTCCCTCTTCTCCCCTCCCTGTCTTTTCTCCTTCTTCTCCCCTCTCCTCCTCCTCCTCCTCCTTCCCCTCTTCCTGCTTCCCCTCCTTCTCTCCACCCACCCTCAGCAAGAGAACGCAATCCTGACCATGGAGCAGCGTAACTACTTCTCCCTCTACTGTCTTCACCAAGAGACTCAGCTCGTCCACATTTACCTTCCGCTCACCTCTCATATCTTGGGGGCCTTCGTCAACTCGCAGATCCAGGGCCACATGGAGGTGAGGGCCCTCCAGGCGGTGTGTGTGTGTGTGTGTGTGTCTTTGTCTGTCTGTCTGTCTGTCTGTCCAGCAGCTGGCATGTCTGGCCGGCTCTTGCGTTCCTTTCGCTTGTTTTCCTCAAGCACCCGAGGGCCCCTCTGTTGAAGGTGAAGATGTTGGAGGACATCTTCTGCAGATGTTTCCTCGCCCTTCTGCTGACCACTTCTACCCATCTCCTTTCCTTCCTGCAGATGAGCAAAGTCTGGAACGAACTGAAACCCAAGCTGAGCTGCCTCTTCGCGGGATCCAGCGACGTGCTGATGCTCCCCTTGTCTGCCCAAGAGGACAATTTCCTTCCCAGTTAATGTTTTTGGGATTCAGGAATGGGAGGAGCTGGAAGGAAGGCCCACCCTTGACACTTAAGCACACCTGTCCAGGTGTCCTTCTCTTGGCAAATCCTAGCTTTGCCTCCCGGAGCCTGAATTGAAAAGGGAGGTGGGGGGGGCGTTTCCCCCACAAACTCCAGCATGTAGAAATGTCATTTTTTCTTTTCAAAGACTGTTTTTGTTTTCATTTTTAATGTTGACTGTGAAGGCTCAAAAAAATGGCCCTTGGGGCAGGTTTGGGAATGGGGGCCTGTCCCATGTCAAAAGCGACAGATGGGCTTAGGTGAGCCACTCCACTCCAGGAATAAAACCCCATAATTTCACGGGGGTTAGGGCCGGGCAGCAAATATATGCACCATCAATTAAAGGGGCACAGTTTCCTTAAACAGCATTCTGAGTGAAGGGACCAGCATGAGTTTTTTCTTCTTATTTTGTCTTGAAAAGCCAGGTGTTTAAATGAACACAAGCGTAACTTTAGGGACATGTGTGTTTCAACAGTAAACTGGTGGCCATGCGACTCCGTGCCACGTAAGAAATGGCCAGCTGCCTCACAGAGGACTAGGCTCATGAATTCATCTCTCAAAACACACTGCCAGCCTCTCAAACTTCTTAGAGCAAAGGTCTTCAAACTTGGCGAGTTTAAGACTTGTGAACTTCAACTCCCAGAATTCCTGAGCTAACATGACTGGAGGAGGAAGAATTCTGGGAGCTGAAGTCCACAAGTCTTAAAGCTGTCAGGTTTGAAGACCCCTGACTTAGAACTACAGGTAGTTCTGACTTAGGCCAGCTCGTTTAATGATCATTTGAGCTGACTTTCTGAAAGCCATTTAATGATTTAGCAAACTTCTTTTAATGACAAGTGATGTGTGATAGACCAAACCCAAATGGCTCACATTGGTTACCCAGATCTAGTACTTAGGAGCACATTTCAACGACATGCTGGCTTACAGACGCCGGATAGTAGTTGGCATCTGACCAACTTTCAAAGACAAGATTGTGTCCAGCATTTTCATAAGTCAGTCCTTCTCACGTGCATACCTCATACCTACGTTCCTTTTGAATGAACGCAAACCTAGGAGTCTTAAGAGATGGGACGTTGTGCGTTGCTCTAAAGCAATGTTTCTCAACTTTGGTCACCTTAAGATAGCCACAGCACTTAAGACTTATATCCCACTTTCCAGTGCCCTCTCTAAGCGTTTTATAGAGTCAGCCAATCTGGGTCCTCATTTTACCCACCTTGGAAGGATGGAAGGCTGAGTCAACCTTGACACTGGTGGGATTCGAACTGCCAAATGGCAGGCAGCCGGCAGGCAGCAGAAGTAGCTGATGAGTTGACTTCAACTCCCAGAAGTCCCTAACCAACCACATTGGCTGAGGAATTCTGGGAGTTGAAGTCTACAAGTTTTAAAGGGGCCAAGACTGAGAATCTCTGCTTTGTAGCATCCATGGGGCATATTCCTTCTCTTGTCCATTAGTGTTCCTCATCAAAGCTATCCAAAGCTTGGCTGAACGTGTTGACCAGCTAAACATAGTGCCTTATTCCAATGTAGTTTTTTAAATCTTTAGACAATCGTCTTACTAATCAAAATGAACCTGGCTTAGCTTCAGAGTCTTGGTTAAATTGGACAGGGGCTACCAGCCCTGAAGTTATATAAAAGGAGAAACCATTGTTTGGTTCGTGCCATAGTTAAATGAAAAAAAAAACAGCTGTAAAAAAGCTTGTTCTGCTAGATTAAAAAAAAAAATCCAGTTGCTACAAGGAAAGCCATCTCTTCTCTTCAAGAAAAGAGAAGGTCATGAAGTTTATTTTTGAGGAAGCTCTACTGTATTTAAAGTGGGACCACGGAACATTTTTTTAAAGCAAGATGATTTAAGGCTTCAGGGCAAAAGAAGCCATCTGAAGGGACTAAAAGCCAAATTCTCAGGAAAGTAAATTTTGCCTTTTTTAAAAAATGTTTTCCAAGTCATGTTTTTGGTTTGGGGTGGATGGGCTTCTTCCAGCATCCTGGCCTTAAATCTGACTTTTGTAAAAGAGTGTCCACTTTGCAAAATGTATTGTTTTTTTAAATGAAGCACTTTATTAAATGGCAAGAATGTCTTTATTTCCATAAATGTTTACGGAGTCTGACATCCCCAGGCCCCCTGCTCCAAAAGTTGCAAAAAAAGAGATCTATTTGTAAGAAGAGAAATGTAAAACTCTATTAAAAGTTTGAAAGTTTATTTCATGTTGAATGAATTTATTGCAATGTGTATGATCAAAGCGTTTTTCTTCATGGTATTGAGGCTATCCCGGCATTTCTTCTTCTGGTTTGACCATATTTTCCCATAATTTAGTACTCTTTGATCACGGAACACATTTCTGTACACGAACAAGTCGTTTTGAAGGGTTTTTTTCCCCCCTAGAAAGTCAATTATCAATGAATTTGGCAGGAGAGTTGTGTTGCTATAGAGCCGGCGGTGGTTCCTTGCCTACCAAAATGGTCCTTTATGTCTGCATCTTCTCCACCTCCTTCAGGCTATATTCTAAGATAGTTTCCTGCCCCTGAAACTTAAAATAGCCCAGGAAATATTTTTTCTGGAGCAGAAGAGGAAACCAATAGATATCATCCGGCCACATCTCCTTGAAAGGTATCTGGTCCACGTCAAACCACTGAGGGCGCATTTCTGCAATAGGAGAGAAAAAAAAGTACAGGTAGATCTTGACTTCTAACTACAATTGGGGCCGAAATTTCTGTCGTTAAGCAAAGCAGTTGTTAAAGTGAGTCACACCCAATTTTATGACCTTTTTTGTTGTTGCCATGGCTGCTAAACAAATCACTGCAGTTGAACCATGAGGTCACTAAACAAATCCAGCTTCCTTGATTTTGCTAGTTGGAAGCTGGCTGGAAGATAACAAATGGTGATCATTTCTCTCTCTTTCCGTCTCTTCTCTCTTTCTCTCCTCCTTTCTCACTCTCTCCTCTTTTTCTCTCTGTCTCTTTTCTCTTTCTTTCTCTTCTCTCTCTGTCTCCTCTCTTCTCTTTTTCTCTTCTCTCTCCGTCTCTTCTCTTCTCTTTTTCTCTTTCTCTCCTCCCTCTCTCTCTCTCTCTCTGACACCCACGCACACATCCTGGAGGTTGCACCCCTTGCAAAGTTGCAATGACGACACGATGGAATTTTGGAAAAAGTGCAGAGAAAAGCAACTAGGATGATTAAAGGCCTGGAGACTAAAACATAGGAAGAACAGTCGCAGGATTTGGGTTTGGCTAGTCTAGGGAAAAGAAGAATTAGGGGTGACATGATAGCAGTCTTCCAGTATTTGAGGGCCTGCCAGAAAGAAGAGGGGGTCAAATTATTCTCCAAGGCACCAGAAGGCAAGGACAAGAAGGAACAGGTAGAAACTAATCAAGGAGAGGAGCAATATGGAATTAAGGCTTCCTAACACTGAGGACAATTAACCAGTGGGATAAACTACCTTCAGAAGTTGTGGCTGCTCCAACACTGGGGCTTTTTTTAAAAAAGAGACTGGATAGCCACTTGTCTCAAATGGTATAAATGGCTTGAGCAGGGGGGCTGAATTAAAAAACCCCCAAGGTCCTTTCCATCTCCATTCTGATCAACTGAATCCTGTCAGTGTCATACCCACAGGCTAAAAACAAAACCCACAGTGGCAGCTGGGATCTTATTATTACGGATGGAGGCCAGTTTAACCTTGCACTCTTCCCCAACTCTACTATCACTCCCACACACTTTCCTACCGTCACTTTCGGTAGGGTCTCCATGGAAACTGTCAGCGCGAAAGATATGGACTTCCATCAGCTCCGAGTTGCCTACAAACTCAAAGGTAATCTGGCCCATTTTCTGTAAGGTGTCCACAGTCAAGCTGCTCTCTTCTTGAAGTTCCCTGGAAATAAGGGAAATAAGGGAATCTGTAAAGCTGGAGATTTCGGTTCACACGCCTTGGGTGTTTCCATCAGGGTTGGTCCTAGCTCTGCATTGCTGCCTTTTAAACTTTTCTTTGGAATGGCAATAGGATAAGGGTGAAGGTGACCTTTTAGAAGCAGGCTTTTAATACAGTTATTCCCCAATTTATGATTTAGTGACCATATCAAAATTATGATGCCACTGAAAAAAGTGACTTACGACCACCTTTTGTAGCAATGGAAATTCTGGAGGTTGTAAGTTAAGGTTGTAACTGGGTGGCCATACCAACCACATCTTCAGGAAGCAAATAGTGTAAGTTTAGTGAATCTTAAATTTAGATGGAAATGGGCCATAAACCCAAGCAGTCTTTTAATAATCATGTAGTGTAGGTCCATACCTGCTGTTCATTGGTGAAATACTCTTCTATTTGTCATGGCTTTCTTTCTTTCTTTCTTTCTTTCTTTCTTTCTTTCTTTCTTTCTTTCTTTCTTCCTTCCTTCCTTCCTTCCTTCCTTCCTTCCTTCTTTTTCTTTCTTTTTTCTTCCTCTTTTTCCTCCCTCCCATCTCTCCTTCCTTTCTTCTTGTTTTCCTTCCTTCCTTCCTTCCTTCCTTCCTTCCTTCCTTCCTTCCTTCCTTCCTTCCTTTTTCTTTTCCTTCCTCTCTCTCTCCCTCCCTCCCTCCCTCCCTTTGTCAAACAAAAATTACAAATTCCAGTGAACAAAATGAACAAACTAAAGTGTAACAGGGACACTAGTCACATTCGTGCACTCACTCATGCCCCTTTAGGAACCTCTTAAATACGGGGATGAGGTCCACAGAAGTCAAGTTGGAACAAAAACTGTGAAAGTCAGTGGCTGAGACAATCTTCCAGACTTTTGACACCGCCCAGGGAGCACGTGTAGCTTAAGGGATGCTACGGGCGCCTTTTGCTTTGAATTGTGCGTCTGTGTTTACTTCTCTTTGTCACATT